AATTATCTATAATAATAAAAGGGTAATATGCTAATTAGACCAGATGTCATTCCAGATGAAGCTGGGGCCAAAGGGAAGCCTGGGTCCTGGGTACCAGAGGGAAGCCGGTGCCAGCAGCTGGGGGAAGGAAGGCCTACTCTTGCACGAATTTCGTGCATCGGGCCTCTAGTAAATAAATAAATAAGAGTTAATATTTTATAATTATATAAATTATGAGAAGTTCTTCAGATGAAGTTCTTGAAAAAAGAGCATATAAAACTAGTTTTAAACATTAGATCAAATGTTTCATAAGTAGTAATCAAAGAATTACAAAGCCTAGATGGTTTGGCTCAGTGAATAGAGTGTCAACCTGCGGACTGAAGGGTCCTGGGTTTGATTCCGGTCAAGGGCACATGCCCTGGTTACGGGCTCAATCCCCAATAAGGGGCGTGCAGAAGGCAGCCAATCAATGATTCTCTCTCACCATTGATGTTTCTATCTCTCTCTCCCTCTCCCTTCCTCTCTGAAATCAATAACAATGTATTTTTTTTAAATAAAAGAATTACAAGTTGTTTAAAAATTAGATATCAGCTTTCAACTTTGCAATGGATTTTTAAATAATTTTTAATCTATTTTTACTATTCACAATGCTAATTAGCAGTGTGAGAAGAACACTCTCAATCACTGCCATAGGGGTGTAAACATAGCAATTATCTAAAAAGTAATGTAGCAGTGTCTTTTATGACCATTAAAACATTTATATCCTTTGCCACTTTTAAGAATCTATTCCAAAGAAATTATCAAAGATATTCCTAAATATTAAGAACAAAAATCCTATTCACAGCACTATTTATAGCAAGAAATTAATCACCAATAATGAAGAATCCATCAAATAAAATATATATAATAAACATTATACATTATTAAAACCTGTTTTAAAAGATGTTTTAATGGCATGAATTATATTCACTATATTAAGGAGTGAAAAAAGGGGAGGACAAAAAAAAAGGTGGTGCATAAATATAATACTAATAATTACATATAAATAAATATGTGTGTGTGTATACATATACATATACATATACATACACATATACATATACATATACACTCATGGAAAAGACTGGAAAGAAACACACCAAACTGCTAGTGGGTTCTCTCAAGATAAATGGATTGGCATTGATTTTTATTTTCTTCTTTGTAATATTTCGCATACTACAATGCATTTTAAAAAGGGGGAGAGGGAAGGAGAATTTTAAAGTATATATATATTCATTAGACATGCAATATATAAACAGCAATGTACACATGTTATTATATGCATAACAAAATTATTTAGGTAGAAGGAAAAACCCAAAGTAAACAAGCAGTATATGCACAGTGGGAGTGATTAAGGCTTTGGAAAACAGACCATGGTTTGAATCCCAACTGACAAGTTATAAGACTCTGGACAAATGCAAACTCTCTGTGCCTCAATTTTATGACCTATAATATAGGGATGATAATACCTACCTGCCTCCTAGAGTTGATGATGTAGGTATTAAGTAAGTTAAGATTAAAAGTTCTTAGCATAGTGTCTGATAAAGTATATAAATCTATAGCTTTAACAAGTTGATCCTAAAGCTAGCTTAGAACTCTGGCTTAGGGACAGCAGAATTTCATTTAAGTTATAAATTTTACCTCTTGCTTCATCCTTTAACCTCTGAACAGAGACCAATAAAGATTCCTTTTCATCAAGTTCACTTTCTAAAAATGCATTCCGTTCAATGGCCTGATTTAGCCTTTGTTCAAAGTCTTCCAGTGAAACTATTGTTGCCCTAAAAAAAAAAAAAATAGAATCCATGAATTAAATAAATAATGTGCAAATAGGTAATACAAAAGGAAACTGTCAGTTTATCTCATATCATTTCCTGACCTAGAAAGCCTGGCCCAGTTGAAAGACAATGATCTCACTCCTTCTGATCTCTGGTGGCATTTAGAGTTTCTGCTATCATTTAAGGCCATTAAATATATTCTTTTCTCTTAAATTCCCATCTAAATTCCTTAAAGTTCTCCCCACTGGATTTTTAAACACAATACAATCAAGTTCAGGAAAACTTTTCAGTAGTTTAAGAATACGAAAGAATTAACTAAAAATTTGTTTAAAACACAAAGTCCCAGGTCCCACTCCATTTACATTCTTCCTACCAATCCTTTTCTTCTTCCTGCATTTCTCATCTTACTCCTTTATTCAACAAACATTAACATGTATCTACTATGTGTCCACTACCTGCTATGTGCTTACCTGCTAGATATAAAATTCCCTAACCTCATCAGAACTCATAATGCAATGTCCAATTTTATCATATCCTGTCAACTGTCCAAATACCTCTCAATTCCATTTGCTCTCCTTCAATCTTCTGCCCCTATTCAATACTCCATCCAATACCTGGATTACTCCTAAATGGTAGTGATGAGAGGTCTTTACATCTCCTCCTCTCTATTCCAATTCCTCAGTACTATCTGCTGAAATCATGGTCTAAAATAGTTCTCCTTTGTTTAAAAAATTATTAATGAGGCCCCCATTGCCTATAGAATGACATCAAACATTGCACACAAGGTTCTTCACAACCTGGCCTCAACCACCTTCCAGCCTCATGTTGTTCAGCCATGTCTCTAAATATTTCAAAGTGAAATATTAATACCTCACACACTTTCCTGCCTCTCTGACTCTGCATCTCTCTCTTCACCTGGTTAACTTTTATTTCTCCTTGTACGTTCTGCTTCCCCAACTCCCCCAGGGTAACTTCAGCTGTTCCCTGCTCTATGCCCTGGAACGACTTGTACACTTTTTCTACTAGAGAATTTATCATATCAAACGTCCACACCTGTTATACCCAAGGGCAGTAGCTAGTTTATCTTTGTATCCTCAACTCTAGCATCATATCAGGCATTTAAGTCACTCAACTATTAAGGAAAGAAATACTAGATAATAAAGTAATAGGAATAAAATAAGAGGAATTAAATTTTGAATGGTTAAGAAACAACTAATTTACAGATATATGAAAGCTGGCAATAGTAATAGCAAGCCACTAGAGGTTATTCAGCAAAATCATAATTAAAGCAATATTTTGAGAAAACTCATCAGTCGGTATTAAAACAGAAGAGAATAAAAAGGAGTAAAAATTTAAAGATAGATTAGCTAGAAAATAACTGCAGAATTCAGGTTTAAGATGTGAGGACCACCCTAGCTGGTTTGGCTCAGTGGATAGAGTATCGGCCTGCAGACAGAAGGGTCCCGGATTCAATTCTGACCAAGGGCAGATGCCCGGGTTATGGGCACGATCCCCAGTAGGGGGTGTGCAGGAGGCAGCCAATCAATGATTCTCTCTCATCGTTGATGTTTCTATATCTCTCTCCCTCTCCCTTCCTCTCTAAAACTAATTTTAAAAAAAAAGAAAGAAAGAAATACATCTGAGTTTTTTTTTTAAAAAGAAACACAACTGATTTTTTTTTTTAAAAAGGTGTGAGGAACTACAAAAAATGTGGTGGTATTGAGAAAGACAGGGAAAGATAGAGGAATGAATGATACATATTTTAATGAAAAGCCACAGGAACAAAAGCACATGAAAAAAGGAAAAATGAAAAGTTTAGAAGGGAATTTTCTGGGAAGATAAGAATTTTTGGTTAGTTTCAATGCGATGAGTACCAAAAGGAAGTGTTCTGGAACTAAGATCTAGGTGATAGATTGAACCTAAAGACATACATTTTAATCACTGATTGCCAACTTTGGTTATTCTAACAAAATGCACATCATTCACCTTTTTGCTCGCTCTAGGTCGTCATTGGCTTGCTCCAGCTCTCTCACATACTTATGCAACTGCTCCTTAATGGCTCGAGTCTGACTTAAATCATCTTCTAATACTGAGACCTGCTTGTAGCTCTGTGCATATTGATGTTCTAGTTTCTCCTAAAGGCATGGATATAGGAAAAAAGTATGTGTCATTAATATGTAGTTTTCTTTAATGAAGGATGCAACCCAAGTTAAAGAGGAAGGAAAATCCAAAGAATTCACCCACAATCCAAGTTGATGGCACCCCTTCTCCTTTTTACAATATTTAAAAACAATCACACATTCATTCCAACTGACTTAACTCATATAAGGTTTAAATAGTCACCCACTGTCCTCTCAGAAATCTAATAATGGTCTCTCTGAAAACAGTAAAATAATGAAAACCCTAAACATGGTGGGAGAACTTCTGAGTTCTCAGGCTACATGCGTTCAGGGTGAGCACAAAGAAGTAGACTGACAGAGTTCAAATTCCCTACCCCTTACCTGCCCACCCCCACCTTCCCAAACCCACCTACTCCCCAGACACGGAAAGTCTCTAAGCATCTGGCTAAGGCAGGTGGTTAAAGAGCAACAAAAGCGGCTAAACCTTTTACTCCTGAAAATTCCTTTTTAGAAGGCAATTTTTAAATCCAAACTAAACTCTAAAACTAAAGGGACTATGAATAATAATGAAATAAATGTGTATATTTCATACAAATATAATTTTTAAGTGCCACAAAATGAGGTGCCTTATCAAAACAATCAGGCAGCTTCTGAAAATTATAGGGACTATAAAATTATATCTAGGAACATGATCACTAAAACACTGATGGCTACAGACTTTCTAAGTGAGCTCCTAAACTCTAAATCTCCTCTCCCTTAGTTCCATGAAAGAAAACAGTCTGACAAAAATTCACTTTAAGCCTCCTTTTATATTTTTTGTTGCCAGCTGCTCTTAAACTCCCCTTTAAAAAAGGACATTTTTCATTTTAATAAAGCCCAGTACATTAGACACCAGGCTCCTACTGCCACAATTACCTTTAATGCTTCCACTTCATATTTCAGTCTTTGGTTATCAGCTTGCAAGTCTCTATTTCTTTGTTCAGCCTGTACTAATTGTGCCTGCAACTCTGCTTCTAATTCTCTGCTTCCTTCCTGAAATTCAACTAGCTCATCCCGAGCTTCCTGGAAGCTAATAAAAAACAAAGTGGGAAAGATAAGTTGTAGTTAGTAGGAACCATAAGCACCATCTTAAAGATGATTACATACCAATTCAAGAATGTATGCCTGAATGCCATGCTATAATAAAATATACTAAACTAGAGGCCCCACAAAAATTAATTTGTGCACTTGGGGGGGGGGGGGTCCCTCAGCCCGGCCTGG